TCAGTAACTGAGGTCAGGTGGTATAAGGAAGGAAAATGAAACAAAAAGAATGGAATCAGAGGCCTGTATTTATTCCCATTTGGCTGAGTGAGCCTGAGACAGATCGTCTGTCTCTTCTGAGCCTCTTTTATTCTCATCTGTAAAATGGGAAGAGCAGCCGACCTGTCTACACAACTTTGTATTGACTGTTTCCAATGGAAGAAAGGGGAAGTGGTTATCAGCAGCTAAGGGGTGGACGGATGTAAGGGCATCTCTTTATGGTGATATATTTGTCATAAATACAGATCGTTAGCCTTAACGTACATCCAATCCAGGAACAAGCTGTCACAGTTTCAGAGAGCCACAGAAAGAATTTGGTTCAGAGCAGTTCTTTCCTATCTGAATCTTACCCAGTAGGCAATTATTTTGTTACTTTGATTCATGGGATGATTTAGTTACAGCCTGTGATATGGTCATAGGGTTAGTTTTCAAGGTTGAGTGAGAATAATTTTTTTGGTCACAAGTATCTTGGTGACAAGCAAGACAATATCCTGGTAAGAAGTTATCCATCAAAACCTAGCACTCAGAAGCCTACATCCCAGTAAATGGGTGAAGGATGAGAGCTTATTTGGCAACAAAGCTCTTTCTCTCTCACTAATTATCTGAAGCTGAAAAAATGTTAATTGTTAAATTAAAGCATCTGTAGCTGCTTCTACTGAGAGCAAGCCCTGCTCCTCTCCTCTTTATAAAGATGAGCTAAGCAGAGGTAACAGAAGTTGCTTTTGGCCAGCTGTCCTGTAGTGTACATTTGAGCAAGATAGATATTGACTGCCAGGAAACTGTACACAACTTGCAAGAGAAAATTTTTAAAAAAGGAAGAAGTAAATATTGAAGATATCAGAGATGCCTAGAAATGTTTGCACCTTTGCCTGCCAGAGTGTCTGGCTCTACCAAATACCCAATGTGTAGTTATTCATATGAATGAGTGAACAACTGAACTAGTGGACGGAAAAGAAACGGCTGGGGGAGGAGCTCAGTGGTAGAACACTGGCCTAGCATGTGTGTTTGGCCCCAACACTGCAAGGTGGGGCAGCACTCGATCCTTGAACTATCACATAGTAGAACAAATCTACTTCACTTGGGCAGCGATAGAGTTGGGGGAAAATATTGTCATATTCTAAGAGTCCAACAAAATAGAAAAAGAAAAAAAGGTTTTTTGTTTTGTTTTGTTTTGTTTTTAATTTGTGATGTTGGGGATAGAACCCAGAGCCTCATGCTTGCTAGGCAAGTGTTCAAAACAATGAAATTTTAAAAAGAAATGTATTCTTATTTAAGAGAAGATTTAATCAAATAAATGTGAGCAGTAGAAAATATCAATAGCTTAGAGTTATACCACAGATATGTTTTGAGTATCCTTGTATGCCAGGCATTGTGCTGACCTGAGGATGCAGTGGTAGGCAAAACAGCCCTAGGCCTAAATGATGCTGCAAAGTAAGAAAAAATGATTTATTATTGGATGTGTAGTATAATCCAAAGTTCAGACACTGAAAGAAAATTTGATGTATTCCAGAGAATAAAAGCATGTGCAAAGGCCCTGTGGCAGGAGGAGCAGGAAGTGTATTTGAGGACCTTGGGGGAGGCCAGGGTCCTAGAATGCAGAATGAGGGGGAGATAAATTAGCAGTTGCTGTAGCCAAAACGTTGTGTATTATTTGTGAAAGTTTGTAATCCTAGAAGGAGATAGTACATATAAGTACAAAAGAGAACATGAAATTTTAGGTGATAAGAGTCTATAGAAGTAGGCATCTCATGGTATGCCATCTCTGCATTGTGCAACAAGCAGAACAAAATCTGTAGAGACCATTCAAATAAACTCCGAAATGAGCTCAGTCTGATTCCTGGGGGGAGCGGGTGTGAGTGCACAGAAAAGGATACGAACGTGATTCTGGCTGTGTCTGGAAAGGGGCAGGATGGGCCATGTGACTTTTATATTAGAAGCTATTATTTGAGTCACACATCTGATTTTGATGCACAATGACCTGTGAGGAAAGTCAACCAGCAAATGAGTGTGTTGTGCCATTTTTGACACCTTGTGTACTCTGGAGGGGCCTCTCGCCCAGTCTTCTGTTTGTGATGTTCCCTTTTCACTACTGTATTTCTCATCCCAAGTCTGGAGAGATGGGGATAGAATTCTTCGGCCTCAGTGCAGATCAGCTGTCCTTGAAGGTGCCCTGTAAACCATTAGGCCATGTGTGGGGATTGGCAAGGTGCCTCACACAGAGGCATGGGCTTTAGTTTCAATTTCAATTTTATGTGTTTGGTTATCTTACAAGATAAAAAAAAGTTAATATTTGTTAATGATGGTAGCGGATACACTTGCACATGTTTTATTATCATTTGACTTTTTTTCTATATGCTTTTTTTTTTAATTAGAAGGAAGGAGAATGTATTTATATTTTTAATTGGAAAGAGCGGGGTCAGCTAGAAGGGAGGAGGGAAGAGCACTGGCATGACTTGGCGGATCACTCCTCCAGTCCTCAGATACCTAAAGAGAAGAACTGGAAGACAATGATCTTGTAGATCCATCTTAACTCTTAGGCATTCCATTAAGCTAACTTCTAAAAGCAATCAATTACTGGATAATCCTACTTGTGGGCTTAAGAATCCAATGTCCCATGCCCATAAATTCCCAATTCTTTAAAAGACCCAATGTTGCTTGGCACAAGATAACCAGTAGCTCTCTCTGGAGGAAACTTATGCCTTGAAATTCATTTGCCGAGTGGCATTTTTGAAAAATCATGATCCCGCAGGATGTTCATATCCATCCTGGGCCAGACTCCGGAGTTTGGAACCATTCAGAAGCCTGTGCCTCTGTGAGGTGCCTTCCCGTTCCTCACACACATGCTGGCTTCTCTCTGGGTTTGCTGGGCACCTTTAAGGACAATAATACGTACTGAGGCAGAAGAATCCTATTTTTTTCTCCCCTATTGGAAATACAGTAAGGAAAGGAAAATGACACAAGCAACAGACTGGATGAAAACACCCACTAAAGTGTATCAGGTGTCACTAGTTGCAAAGCACACTCACTTCCTGGCTTACTGACTTTTTTCAAATATATCATTGTGTGTCAAGATCAGATGTGTGCCTTAGATTGTAGATTTTTTTTTTTTTAACCAGGCACTTACCCAGCCACATCCCCAGCCCTTTTGATTTTTTATTTTGATATAGGGTTTAGCTAAGTTGCTTAGGGCCTTGTTAAATTGCTGAAGCTGGCTTTGAACTTGTGATCCTCCTGCCTCGGCCTCCCAAGTCCCTGGAGGATAACATGCATGTGCCACCAGGCTTTTTTGGCTGTACTGGGAATGGAACCCAGGACCTCACGTGTGCTAGAGAGTGCTTTACCCCTGAGCCACATCCCACGCCCAAATTATAGCTCTTTGATAAAAACAACGGTGCCATGATTTTGTGGATTTGTTTTGGACAGTCATTATATAGGCTGACATCCTGTACCACCTGAGTCTCCACAAACACTAATTAATGTGGATAATAGTATTCATAACTATATTCTCAACTGCCCCCCTCTGGCCGGCCTCCTTCCTCTGGGGGAATGGCAGGAGGGTAGCCTTCCCTTCCTGCCACAGGCAGCAGAGGAAGTGTAGAGAAGGTGACACGGGCCCTCTGCAGAGTCAGCAGTCCTTGCTGAGTGCAGGGAATGTCCTCCGGGCCACCAGCTGCCTTTGCTGCCTCCTCTCCAGTTTCTCTTACAGAGGGTCAAGTTTCCTTCCAATGCGCTGAATGAATGGGAATAAGAAAGTGTGCGCTGGCAGAACTTCAGCCAAACAGAGCCAGGGCTTTCCAAGTAAGAGCAGGAATTTAAGCGGAGCAAGTTTCGAGTCAATGGGACTCAGAGTAAATGGCCATTCTGCTAATAATGAAAAGTACAAATGTTTTTATGTTCCAAGGTTAACAAATGGGATTCTTTCACTGCCCTACTGGCCTGCTCCGTTACAAAGTGGAAACTGTTCCTGATCTTTGCTTTATTGCACTTGTATTTTCCAAGCGATTAGAAGCATTTTCCACTTGGTATATAAGGGTTGGAGTGGGCTCAAGACTTTTTTTTTTTTTAAACAGAAGTTTCCTTTTCTTTTAAACTAACATTTTTCTCATTTTGCAAGTAGACTGACGTTTTAAAGAACAGGTTTTTCGAATAGCACATTTAGACTTTGCCTCTGTAATTATCACATTTGTCATGAGATTAGCACTTTCCAACAGTATTCTTCTCTACCAGATTCTCATTTCGCCCAGAAGTGTGGTTCTTCTTAGCATATGATAGGAATTTAGACAGAATGGGCTATCCTCTAGGACTTCTGTTATAAACACAATCGTTACAAAGAAAATGAAAGCCATTTATTTTAATGAACCAGAAATCTAAACCCTCCATAAAGACCTTTGGCAATTCTTGTTAATGATGTTTGTTTTTATTTGCTTTTCAAATTCACCTGTTTTGCCAACTTCCCAGAGCAGACCACAAACACTGCCACCAAAAACTATTTTGCTTAGTTCCTTGGGTTCTTCATACACAGTCTTACCTTTTCCTGAATCAAACTATACCTTTAGCCCAGTTCTCCATTTGAGAGCATCTGGGGCCACTTGGGGTTGGAAATCAGCATTAGTTGATGGTACCATTCTGGTCTTGGGCTGCAAAGAGCATGTGATAATGGTTCATGTTTTACTTCCCCTCCAAATGGTGGACATAATGAAACTTGCAATGTCAGGGGTTATTTTATTCCATTATTTGAAATGAAAACTGGATGATAGCCTTACTAACATGCTGGAGAATTGCAGAATCCCTTAGCACCCACATGTCACTGAATGCAGGTAGCTTGCGAACCCATTCCCACTTGCCTCCCTCTCCCTTCCCCCACACTACTGGTCCCCTCACCCAAATAGAGAGATTCTGACAGTGGTCAGAAAATGCAATAAGCCACAGGTACTGAGCTCCACATCCATTTTCCTCGTCAGATCTCCCAGCTGATGACAGAGACAAGCCGGGAGGGCCTGACAGAAGCAGCTCTGAACCGCTACAATGCAGACAAGCCAGCGGCCTGCAGCGTCCCCGCCTCACAGGGCTCCTGTGTGGCCAGTGAGACTTCCACAGGCACCTCGGTGGCTGCTTCCTTCTTTGCAAGGTAAGAGATGCTTGGACCCTTGGTTCTTTGACATGTACCCAGCTTGGTTCTTCCATGTGGACCCGTTCAGCTTGAAGAATTAGTTTGGGGCTGTCCTTTGACCTTGCTCATTAAGATGGAATTCCTCAACCTTGACATGGTTGTCATCTCAGATCAGAAGACTGTTCATGGTAGGAATTGTCCTGTGCATTGGAAGATGTTTAGGAGCATCCTTGGTCTCTACCCTGCAGATGTCAGTGAGAGCTCTCCCCACTGTTGTGACCAGCAAATATGTCTCCAGACATTGACAGATGTGGCCTGGGTTGAGAACCACTGCTGTAAGAACATGTGACTCTAAAGCTGGTCCTTCTTGGGATGAGGACTTGCATAGGTCCAACCCTTTGGCTGTTATTTCCAGAATGATCTGCTCATTTCAGAAAATGACTGCCTAAAAAATTGACTATTAAATAGATGGTCTTTTTTTTCTTTCTTTCTTGACATAGTGGATCAAATACTGTCCAGCTAATCTGGGAAACGTAAAAAAATGAGAAACAAAAAAGAAAGGTATTTTAACAATGTTTTCTGCCTAATTTTAGCAACATGGCAGAGACAGGACTGGAGACAAAGGACAGCTGAGTGGGAAGGAACTTTGGTGATTGTCTAATTCGATCTCCTTATTTTATGAATGAGTAAACTGAGGACCAGAGAGTTCAACCATCAGTTAATTTATAGTAAAGCCAGAAATAGAAACCAGATTCCTCTACTCTTTTCTCTATGACTCATTCTTTATTTGACACTTGGAGCTTAACCTTAGAAAACTGTCTCTACCAAAGATTTATAAGCTGCTGAGTAAACAGGATGTTAAATAGATAGCTCCAGATAAGATGTTAGAAGATCCCAGTTCTGCCTCAGTTTCCTCATCTATACAATGAGGGTTACACCTACTCTGCAGGATTGCTATGAGGTTTAAAATGAGACCATTGTAAATTATAAAGTACTTCTTATTAGTTCAGTGTGGACTTAGCCAGTGTGTTGCTCAGAAGGAATTTTGTGTGTGGCTGTTCTTATCCTTGTGAAAGATGTAATCCAAGACAAAAATATGAGGAAGGGGCTCTGATGAGGAAAGAAGCAAGTCCATGTGGGAAGTGAGGACTAATGTCCTGAATTAAGACCCCATAAAAGCGGTGCATGGAGCCTGTTGGATCATGCAGTTGGAGGGGCTCATTGTGCTTTGGTGCCATATTTATTGTTCTCTGGATACTTGGGCCAACTTGAATGTGTGGAAAGTAACAGGAAATAAATGGAATAAATACTGGCCACCCAACAGTGGGGGCCATTTTTTGCTCTTGTCTGTACATGCATTTCTGTGTTGTTCAGACCATTGGGCAGGAACCCCAAGTTCCCTAGAAAGCATTATCCATGCCACTTAGAAAGGGAATGAAGAAGTGAAATAGTTTATGAGGAAATGTCAAAAACACAGAAGATCCGAGGATAAGATAGGTTATGAGAGTGTCTATCATAAGATAGGTTATGAGAGGGGGCTGACCAAAGTGTTCACCTAAGAAACCTTTGACACTTGAGCTTAACCTTAGAAAAATGTCTCTGCTAAAGATTTGCAAGCTCCTGAGTAAACAGGATATTAAATATATAGCACCAGAGAAGATGTTAGAAGAAGTGTTGTGTGGGTTCAGCCTGGAGAAGGATCAGGGCCACCTTCTTGCTGCTGTTAGCATTCTCTTGGGTCATTGTGTAAAAGTGGATCTGGTTGGTTCTGTGGAGCACCCGAGTGTGTAGACGAAGGCTGGATGAACCTTAATGAGAGAATGGAGAGATTGCCCAGCTAGCAATGAAGGTGAACTTGCCACAGTTTTCACACTGCCCCAGGGGAGAGTGAAGTCCCCATCAGCAAGGGGTCAAGGATGCCTGGAATGATTACCTGACCTCAGTGCTTGACATTTGGTGCTCTACTGAAAGGTGGCTTCCAATGTTCCTTTCTACCCTGACATTCTTTGAACTTGAAAAGTCTTCAGAATCCATTCAGAGAAATTTGTAGGAAATCACCTTACTCAACCCCAAAACAAAACAAACAAACAAACAAACAAAACCCAGAAGAAAGATTCAAAGCAGGAAGAAATAAAGTTAGGACTTCCAAGGGACATTGTTTAGAGAGATAAGTGTTTAGGATCCTTCTTGTTCCAGGAAACCAGCAATGTCTTTAAAGCCAAAGAAAAGATGCCAAAATAAGATAGGCCTGGGAAGGCCTGAGTGTAGACAAATGGTGTGTGCCTGGGGCCAGATTTCAGTTCATCAGGGAGGATCTAAAAAAAAAAGGCAACTGACATCAGGGAAGGAATGACAGATCACTGGCAAAGGTGGTCTTCTATGGGACTTTTGCTTGTACAGTCAGGAAGGGGGCAGTGTGGGAATGGAGATGCCCAGGTGAACCCCAGATGGATGGGCCAAGGATAGCAATTGGAGGAGGCCCTCCAGTAAACAAAGACTCTGAAACTCATCTCTGCAAACTCTTAAGAGCTTGAGGTATTAGCTTTCAAAGAACTGGAAAAGATCCATTGGGCTGCCTAATTCCTAATTATTTTCTTTGTCATAAACACTAATAGCCCTTGGAGTTTAATGGTATAAGCACTGACAGCACATGGTTTGTGTTCAAAGGGCTTACAGTGCACAGTCGGGGGGAGTACCAGTGTGAAAAAGAACACACAGAAACACGCACACATACACACACATCTTACCCTCCCTCACCCATTACCCCATTTTGCTCTGTCATTCTCCTGGGCAATAATTTGATTTTCCCTCCTCCAAATGCTGGAGGCAGCGCATCTGTCACTGATGGGCACCTACAGCAGAAGACTGAGTACCTTATTAAGGTCTGCCGTCAGAACCAGCTCAGCTTTTGTTGTCCAACAGAACTGAGCCCAGCATCAAAGAGCCTTTCAGTTTCAGCTGTGTAAGGTGATGTCACAGGCAGCTTTTGAGAGAGGTAAAATGTGTATTTGTTTCTGGTGTCGATATTGGAAATGCTTTGGCGGTAATGGATTCACATGGAAGAATAGGAGTCTTTGTTCTCAGAGGGATTTGGGGACGAAATAAGTTCCTTTACATCTCCAATCTGTGTTCACCATGCGTCAACTCTTCCTGCTTGGTTGTGTGATGGAGATGCAGCCCTCTGAGTCTGCTGGGCCCTGGAACAAGTAGCTCCAAGTCAGGACACAAAGGGTGGCTTTCTTGCAAGAGGCCATGCTGGGGGTCATGTCATTTTTATACAGGAGGGATATCATTTACCAAATTTGTGGCAAAACTCAGTGTTTATCACTCACCATTAACTAAGCTCCTGATAGGCACAATCGTCCTTCATCTTCAGAATAATCCTATGATGTAGATCCTGTTATGTGCTCTGAATTATGGCTAAAGAAAGTGGGACCCGGAGGTTTCATTACTATGTTAGCATCTGTCACTATACCAAACACCTGAGATAACAACTTATAAAGAGAAAAGGTTTATTTTGGATTACAGTTTTGGAGCTTCCAATTCATGATCCATTGGCCCCCCTGGCTTTGGGCCTGTGGCAGCAGATCCTGGACAGAGCATGTGGAAGAGCAAAACTATTTGCCTTATGGCTAGGGAGCAGAAAAGAGTTAGGAGGATGCTGAGGTCCCTCTGTCGCTTTTGACATAAAGACTTCCCAACAGCACCACTCTGGGAAGCAAACCTGTAACATATGACATTTGGGGGATGTTAGCAGTTACTGACCCCAAACCACATAGCCAGGAAGTGGCAGAATAAGGAATCCATCTAATTTCCTCTCACGTAAGAGCCCAGATTCCTATTCTCTGTGCTCAACAGGCACAGTAAGACATTGCATTATAGGGGTTTTTCCCACCATCATCATGAACCGATGTTCATGCTTATCAAATACTTTTGAAATTATTGGACCTTCAACTTGCTTGAAAAGGCAAGTAGAACACAACAACAAAACAGATTTTTTGAGGATTACACTTTCTGTATGATTCTGTGTGTGTGTGTGTGTGTGTGTGCGCGCGTTGTAGGAATTGAACCCATGGATGTTTTCCTACCTAACTACATACATCCTAAGCTCCTCTGACTTTTTTTAAAATTATTTATTTATTTTTTAAAAAATATCTCATTAAGTTGTCAAGCATGGCCTTAAATCTGCAACCCTCCTGCCTCAACCTCCCAAGTCACTAGGATTACAGGTGTGTGCTGCTTGATCAGCAGCCTTTCTTTTTAAATGTTTACTTTTCAGATATACAGGTGGAACTCCAGGTAGACCTTGTTGTATCTCAAATTCAATATTTAAGAATTCCAATTATGATAAGCAATAGTTCTTATCATAATGTGTTGTTCCAAGCGTGAGCTGGGGACCAGTGCTAGTCCACACAGTTACCTGTCAATGATAAGTATAGATATTGAGAAGAAGCATTTAGAAGCTTCTGTAGTTATTTGACAGAGTAATTTTCAGTTTACTATCTTCATGCATTTGTGCTGCTCTAACAAACTGCCCAAGACAAACTAAAAAGAACAGAAATTTGTTTCTTACCATCCTGGAGTCTGGGATGCCCGAGATCAAGGTGCCAGCACTGGTGTCTGGTGAAGAGTGCTCTCTGCTTCCAAGATGGCACCTTGATGCTGGTCCTCAGGTGGTGGAAGGTGGAAGGGACCATCTCTCTCTGAAGCCTGTTTTATAAGGGCATCAATTCATTCACGAAGGCGTCACCCTTACAGCTATCTCACCTTCTGAAGGCCTGACCTTTTAATACCAGCACAATGGGGATCAAGTTTTAAAAAAAATTTTGGAGGGACACATTCAAACTGTAGCATCTGTTGAAATCTATATTTATGCAATCTGTTGACTACAGATTTTTCACTACCTTCAATGCATTTATTGTCATCAGAGCTTCTCTTTCTCTTCCTTCTGAACAAGATTATTTTGAATTTAGTGAATCCCTTGGAGATTCTGTTACACAAGTTTTTACTGGTATTTT